TCAAACCCATCCAGGGACTCCATGTAAGAAAGGCTTGGTGATCTGCTCCCATAAAGACTGCAGCCAAGAAAACCCTACGGAGGTGTTCTACTCTTCACGCACGGAGTCACCGTGAGTTGGAACTGACCCAATGCCAACGCGTTTGGTCTTGGTTTTGGTTTTAGACATGTTCACTACCTTTATTACGGTGATAATGTCACACAGGTCACAGAGATGTATACACATGGAGTTTCCACGAGCTGGAATCGACTCGACGGCAACCAACAACAAAATACGTATGTCCAAGTTGCCAAATTATATACTTACTGAATTACATATAATTTGCATATAATTATATATAATCTATATATATAATTTTTATATATATTAATTTATAATATATATAATTTTTATATAATTATACACAAATTATATATACACATGAGCAGTTTATTACATGTCAGTTTTTCCTCACTAAGGATGTTAAGAGCGCAATACCAACCAGAGAGATGTGACAATCAAATGCAATGAATAAACCTTGGTTGAATCCTGTATTTATTTTAAAAAGGGGGTGGGGCATTTTTGTGAAGCAACTGGGAAAATATGCCTACAGACTGTATATTAATATATTATTAAATCCACTAAATTTCTAGGTCTAAGAGTATAAATCTGTACAACCTTCTTAGAGAATCATGTGAAAGTACTTATCAAAATTTTAAATGTCTGACTTTATACTAAATCAAAAAAAAAAAAAACCATTGCCATGGAGTGGATTCTGACTCACAGCAACCCCTAGAGGACAGAGTAGAACTGCCCCATGGGGTTTCCAAGGAGCAGCTGGTGGATTCAACTGCCGACCCTTCTGGCTAGCAGCTGAGCTCTTAACCACTGCGCCACCAGGGCTCCCTGACTTTACACTACAGACTCAGACATGTGTCCTGACTTACTACGTGCTCACAGTGGGGATGCCCTACTACTATGAGGCACAGGCAATTTAAAGCACTCTAGACTTTCCTATATTTATAGTATATGTTCCTGTATTTATTTCCTACACAAGAAAATGAATAAAAAGCAATATCAATGAAAAGAAAAAAACCCAAATATACTTAGTTTACAGCTTTATATAATTATTTTAAATATATTTTTTTAATTCAGAGATAAAATTACTCAGCCCCTTGCCTCTCAGACCAGTAGTACACAAAAGGGTACAAGGGTACACCATTACGACTAACGATTCCAAGCCATCAGTCATGTCCAAAAGCTGTCCATATTCATAAGCTTACCAGTACAGTTTAAGGGACAATGTTTCTCCCAGTTTCTTTACAATAAACTGTGCCAAGGGGCAGAGGATTAAGTGGTATTCATACCTTGTCAAAACTGTTCACACTGCTATGTCCTAGGAGAAAGCTCTTTTTATTACCTACGTTCAGAATTGAATAAGTGTAAATTTTAAGCCTGTAACTATATGTAGCTACAGCCATCACTTCTAACTGGGTATCAGAGCACCCACAGGGTATTAACTGAAAATTGTCTCTGTGTTCTACACAGTCTCAGAAGCCATTCCCTCAGATTCTCCGGAATAGTAACATCATTTTCCACAGTGGTTGTTGCATTTATGCCCGCAGTTGCAAGCACAGCATTAAGAGGAGTGTGGCCAAGTTTCCATTAGATCTCCTACCTGAGGTTGGCGTGCTCCCCTGCCATCTGTTTCTGGGGAGTATAACACACAGAGAGACACCAAATTCACTTAGACATACATAACAGTGATCTAAAAATCACACAGTATTTTAGTTGTGAAAATAAATTATTAGCACTTAAAGGGACATCCTCCCTCTTAAACAGCTGTAAAATAAAACATCCATTGCTAAACACAGTAAGGGAAAAATCTGACTTAAAACAGCAACAGACACAAATGTGTAATTTTAGGGAGGCTTACATATTTCAGAAAGGCCCAGAAGTCCTTGGAGTAAAAGCAGTGAGAATTCACAGCTCTCCTCCATGAGTGAGGCAGAAGAGTACATGGTAAAAACAAGGGATCTACAGTCAAGTGACATAATGTTTCTAAGCCTTCGTTTCCCCATCTATAAAATGGGGATAAAGTAGGACAGTGAAAGAGGCCGACAGAAGAACTGATGCATTCCAGCTGTGGTGCTGGCCAAGAATATCGAATATACCGTGGACTGCCAGAAGAACCAACTATCAGTCTTAGAAGAAATACAACCAGAAGGCTCCTTAGAAGTGAGGACGGTGAGACGTCAACCTGCTTACTTTGGACACATCATCAGGAAAGACCAACTGCTGGAAAAGGACACCATGGCTGGTAAAGTAGAGGGTCAGCGAAAACACGGGAAACCCTCAGTGAGATGGACTGACACAGCAGCCACAACAATGGACTCAAACATACCAACGGTCATGAAGATGGCACAGGGCCAGGCCTCGTTTTGTTCTGTTAGACAGAAGATGGCCAGGAGTCAGGGCGAATTCGATGGCAACCAACAACACAGCTTACAGAGTTATTGTGAGAAGTAAACAAGGCAAGTGAAGAACCTGAGACAGTGCCAGGTGCTGCTGCAGCTGCTGCTGGAACCTGAGGTATTCTATTAAGAAAGACTACCGGATCAATGAAGAGGATATCTGCCTCTCTATCCTCTAGAATGGGGGTGAGTAAACTACAGCCTGAGGAACAAATGAGTCCTACCACCTGTTTTTGTTTCACCTGTAAGCTAAGGATGGTTTTTACATTTTTAAATGATTGGAAGAAAAAAATCAAAAGACCAATATTTTGTGTCATGGGAAAATTATATGAAACTTAAATTTTAAGTGTACATAAATAAAGTTTTATTGGAACACAGCCATGCTCACTCGCTCACATCTTTTCTACGGCCACTTTCATACTACAATAGCAGAGCTGGGCAGCCGCCACAGAGATCAAGCGGTCTGCAAAGTCTAAAGTAGTTACTCTCTGACCCTTTACAGAAAAAAATCTGTCAACCCCTGCTCTAAAATCTGGAATGTGTAACTATTTAGAAACTGAAAAGTTAATACGTGGGCGTTTTCTTAATCTACAGTTAATCTGACAGATTTTCAGAGAGTTTTTCAAAAGTAATTGTCTAAACTTGTAAGCATTAAAAAACACGATCAATTCGTTCCTCGTATGACTACATTTTCATTTCCTAGAGAAAGTTACAAACAAAATCACTTTAAATATTATTACTCTTAAGTTCTAATGCCACCATTGGTATACAAGAAGAACTTGAAAAGGCCTGCTCACTGTGAGCTTATATTTATGTGGGAAAGTAAAAAATAAGAGCGAAAATCAATGGTAAAGTGAACACCAGAAAGAAGAAAAAACTGAAAAGCATTCAGCATCACTGATTCTCCAACCTAATTCATCATCTTTGGGGAAAAAGGAAGACTGACATAAAGAATGGTATTTGGAAGTTACTATAGGAAGCAACATGGAAAAATACCATTACATCACAAGGGAGAAATGAAAGTGAAGGAAAAAACCTGAATATGCTTAACTTAAATGTACATACTAGTAGCTAAGAGAAGGAGGAAGACAGGAAGGAAAAGACATAGAATGGAAATCACGACAGGCAGGCAAACACAGCAGAGGGTATGGATGGGACGCGTAAAGCAAAGGGAAAAGTATGATCACAATATGACAGGAAGGGAAAGATTAAGTTCAAAATCTGTCAAATTACTCTTTTCCTTTCTTCTTCCTTTCCCAAAAAGTCTTGTTTGATTTTAAATCATTTATAAAATCTAGCCAAGAAAACATGAGAGAGATTATTCCAAAATTTCATTAAGCATTTAAGAAGAAAGTTCTGCAAAGATGAATGGTAATTTAGAATATTAAAGGTGCAAAAGAAACAGAAACTGTATTTGGAGAACTTACATATGCTGATAGGGGAGGTAAATCTATAAGAAAATTACAAAGCAGCATACAGAGCAGGTACGTGACAATTCTGTCGGAAGAACGGAGTCAAAGGAGGTCCTACCCCTGGTTGGGAAAGACTGCAGCGTGGCACTTGAGGACGAATTAAAATGGCAAAGGGCATTAACAAATTCACAATTTAGCAGGTTGCTAACATCATAAATTCATATTACTCAGAGTAACTGTTATTTTCTATCTTAATCCAGCATCAGAGGTAACGAGCAGTCAGTTACAGACCGCAGTACAGACACCGTCAGAGCCGACAGAGCAAAGTCCAAATGGTCAAGCCCTGCCAGCACATTACGGGAGGTGAGAACGAAACCGTTGACGATAAACTCCTGGTTGCAGAAAGGAAAACGAAGCCAGGATAAAGCTGCCAAGTTAGGAGAATAGGCAAAAATTGAGAGGCTAGTCTATTTGCAGTCAAAAATTTTAATCATGAGTAGTCAAGAGGCATGTCAGTTAGAGGAATTCACTTCTCTGTGGTATTACAACGAAGCACTCTAGTGATTGGTGAGTATGGACATACAGACAACGGCAGAATTCAATGGTGACGTCTCAACTCATTTTCTGTTCTTGAAACACAGAAAAAGAACTCTATCAACGAACTATCATCACCTACAGACCACGGCAGAGGACACAGTCTACAGTGATAAACTCACAGTACAAAAATACCTAAAATATTCCTTAAATACTACACAAATATCCATGCCGCAGTTTACATAAGATAATGATGCTGTTCTAGCTTCAGTGAGCCACACTCGCAAAGACTTTTTAGCATTAATCAGACAGGCTGATAACAGCAATATACGACTTTTAGTTCAATCAGAATGGGCTTATTTGTAGTTCAAACAGAATTTGTTGCATCATCTCAACAAAGTAAGACTGGCACAGACTGACAAGGAAATGGCCGCATACAGACCTACTATTCATTACACTGAGACTCTGCTTGTGAGAGTCATTTCCAGCCTGATTAACAGCTTAGGAAAGAAAAGAGCTGGGGGCGCATTTGTTTCCACATAGTTTTAACTATTCATATGCCTTTTTGCTAAAAGCTACTTGATAAAATTTAAGTACTTACTAATATCATCTTCATGATAAATGACAGAGTGAAATGGCAGACTTCGGCCTCTAATATATCTCTCTACTGGCTCAACATAAAATGTGCCACCAAGAGTCCGGATGAATCCTTCAAATCTTCCATCAATAACAGACCCATGGCTAAAGCTTCCTTCTTCACCTATTGATGAAAGCAACAAACTCTTGAAAAGCTGATCTGCACATAAATGTTAAATTAATTCTCCTTTAAAAAGCCATTCTAATATACATGTATATATTTTTTTTAATCTTGAATATAAATTTACTTGGTAATTAATTTTATCACTTAATAAATATTCAAGCTGACTTTGAGACGTGAACAGCAATTAGTACAAAAATATACTATTAATAACAACAATGAAAAACAGAATGTCTATCTTGTTGATAAGGCCATATTCCCAGCATACAGCACAGTGGCTGGCATAAATTCAATAGGCATCCAATAAATAATTGTTAAATTAACTTAAACTCAGAAAAAGGCAAACAGATATATATCTTTTCAGAATAAAGATATTAAAAGTATGTGGTGAAACTTTTTCTTTAAATCAGAAAAAAGCTCCTTCCCCACCCGATAACAGCGTGCAGGTGCATTTCGGCTGCCTTGCCATCTTTAGGCTTTGTAAATATATATTTTTTAATAGGAAAGTGTCAAATATTTCAGAAGCTATTTGAACAAAAGTATACCAGCAATTCTTTTTAAGATAGCAGCCAAAGATTTGAAAAACTGTCCCATCAATTATACTTCTCTAGTAAAAGAAGTACTTTTTTATTTTTCTTGTACTTTTCTTGACCAACACCTAACAAAATAGGGCAGAGACTACTCAGTTATTTGCCCAGCAAGACAAATGATCAAGAAAGTATTTAAAAAGTGTATTACAAACCTAGACTGGTGAAAAAAACACTTTTCTTTGGTCACAGAATTGTAAGAGTACAGAAAGCTTTTAATTTAATAACTAGAGATTTAGTCTGCATATGAGAAACATTAAGTACAGAAATGTCTCATTTATCTGGTATAATGAAAAAATTTTAAAAACTTCTTTAAGCATTTAATTTTTCCTGATATATTTTGAATGGAAATCTCTCTAATATGTAGAAATAAAACTTGAAACAGTTTAACTTTTTCTTAATAACTGAGGATTATCCTGAGTAATTATTAACATACAGGGTTATAATACAATAATACTTTACCCTTTGATTTTTCAGCTTTTTTATGACTTCTATAATTGTTCTATTCTTCTCACACTATAAACCTATCAAATGCAACTTTCTCTCTGGGTTAAGGAGCCCTGGTGGCACAGTGGTTAAAGCACTCGGCTGCTAACCAAAAGGTCGGCAGTTCAAACCCACCAGCCGCTCTGCAGAAGAAAGATGTGGCAGCCTGCTTCTGCAAAGATGTACAGTCTTGGAAACCCTATGGGGCAGTTCTACCTTGTCCAATAGAGTCGCTATGAGTTGGAATTAACTTGATGGCAGTGGGTTTGGTATTGGGTTAAGTGTGCTCCCGTCCACCCCACCCCCAATATCTTTTTAATCTGATGTAGCAAAAGAAATTTGCCAGAATTGGGAACAAAAGCAAGTAAGATTCTCAAAATCCCTTGGAGGGATTTTCCTATGAATGACTCTGTCACATTAATTTTGGCTATTAAAACGTTCTTTACAGTCTCCTTTTAAACTTTTCCTCTTGTCTTACAAAATGCAACAAAGCTACTACTAATTTCTTACTTGGAGACCAGGAAAATCAGAAAATTATAGAAGTCATTAAAATTTTTTCAAAAATCTAACACTTTGGAGGTAGTAGATAAAGTCAAAAATTCAAACCTTTCAGAAGCCAGCATGCATGTAAAGATAAATCCAAGAATTACTTCGTTTTTCAAAGATCATTACCCTTCACAATACATTTACTCTCCTCAGGTTTTATACAGCTTTTCTAAAATATTTGCTTATACTTCAAAAAAAAAGACATATTTCTTTGTGTAGGAAAAAATAAAACAAAGGAGTTCTTTAAGGTTCAACTTACCAAAAATATGTCCAGTGTAAATATGAGAGGTATCGTAATCAAGTACTCTACCTGATGTTTCTACTTTAAAGTCATCACTGAAAAGGGAGGTGTCCCTCTTCATTCGTAGATTGAAATGTCTGCAAATGGGGTGGGAAGGGAAAAAAAACTGAAATTAAAATAATCCAAATTTTAAACAATTTTTTTAAATCTGCAAAATATGGGCTATGTCACATAATTTGGCTATATGGGAATTATGCTGACCAAGATTTTCTTATAAAAATTCTGCTCTGAAATTCAACCTAGCAGCTGTGGTAGGATTCTAAGTTATGTACAATTAAAAAGTAAATGTCCAGGATATATTAAAAAGTAAGAGCCTATGGGCTGATTCCTACAAGATCATGTAATACAAGATCATTCCAACAGCAACTATGTTGCTTCCGGATAAAAACAAGCTTCCTGACCCAATTGCTATTATTCACTTGTCTTACCTCTCCAGTAATTCTGCAACTTTGCTACATTCCTCTACTTTTCACCACTCAAAGAAGGCAATGCATAAAAGCGGCATCTACATTAGGCACCTAACATCTCTTCTCAGAGAAGCAGTGTGCTCACTCTTTCACACACATACAAACACACACACTACCTTTCAACTCCTTTGTTTTTGTCTGGGGGTTCTAATACTTGCAAGTTATATTCGGACTTTCCTCAACTCAATGTGGGAAACCCAAAAGACCATGATCCTGGCCAATATTATAGTCATTCTAATTATCCTTCATAGAAGAGAGGGAAAGACCAAAATACTGAAGTGAAATTAAATGAATTAAAGATTAAAGACTGATGTCATTAATCTCTGAAGATATGACAATAATTAATCTTAAGCCTAAAATTTACTAAACCAGGATGCCTACTTGTGAAATGAAGACAATGCATTCTATCAACCGGACCGATAAGCGACATCATGATAAATGGAGAAAAGACTGAAGTTGTCAAGGATTTCATTTTACTTGGATCCACAATCAAAGCCCATGGAAGCAGCAGTCAATAAATCAAATGACATATTGCATTGGGCAAATCTGCTGCAGCAAACCTCTTTAAAATGTTCAAAAGCGAAGATACCACTTTAAGGGCTGAGGTATGCCTGACCCAAGCCACGGTGTTTTCAATCGCCTCATATGCACACAAAAGTTGGGCAATGAATAAGAAAGACCAAAGAAGAATTGACGCCTTTGAATTATGGTGTTGTCGAAGAATACTAAATATACCATGGACTGCCAGAAGAATGAACAAATCTGTCTTGGAAGATGTACAGCCATAATGCTCCTTAGAAGCGAGGATTTTGAGACTTTCTTTGCTTCATGTACTTTGGACATGTTATCAGGAGGGATCAGTCCCTGGAGAAGGACATGAAGCTTGATAAAGTAGAGGGTCAGCAAAAAAGAGGAAGAACCCCTGTCGGGGAACACCTAGCTCAATGGCATAACACAGTTTATAAAGAAAATGTTCTACATTCTACTTTGGTGAGTAGCATCTCAGATCTTAAAAAGCCTGTGAGCAGCCATCTAAGATACTCCACGGGTCTCAACCCTTCGGGAGCAAGGGAGAATGAAGAAAACAAGATACAAGGAAAAGATTAGTCCAAAGGACTAATGGACCACAACTACCACCGCCTCCACCAGACTGAGTCCAGTACAACTACATGGTGCCCGGCTACCACCACTGACTGCTCTGACAGGGATCACACCAGAGGGTCCCGGGCAAAGCTGGAGAAAAATGCAGAACAAAATTCTAACTCACAAAAAAACACCAGATTACTGGCCTGACAGAGACTGGAGAAACCCCGAGAATATGGCCACCGGACACCCTTTTAGCTCAGTAATGAAGTCACTCCCAAGATGCACCCTTCAGCCAAAGATTAGACAGCCCCATAAAACAAAATGAGATTAATGGGGTACAACAGTCCAGGGACAAGGACTAGAAGGCAGGAGGGTACAGGAAAGCTGGTAAATAGTGAACCCAAGGTTGAGAAGGGACAGTGTTAACATGTCGTGGGGTTGTTAACCATTGTCATAAAACGATATGTGTACTAACTGTTTAATGAGAAACTATTTGTTCTGTAAACCTTCATCTAAAGTACAAGAAAAAAAAAAGAAAACTAATAAAATGTCAAGATATGCTAGAAAAGAATTTATCAGGGAGCTTGAAACTCAACAAAATAAACATGACTCATTCTTTCTGAATGATTCCCTATGTCCCTCTATACATCCTCCTGTGCCAAAATTCTTCTTCCCTTACATTAGCTTATCTCTGTTCAAAAACTATCACCCAATTTGATTATTCGTCTTACTCGTCAGTCTTTACTTCAAAGGACTTATGATAATTTCCAAATAGAAAATCTCCTCTCAGACTCTGAAAGAAAAGATTTGCTGCCATCAATTACATTCAAAAGAATATGCCACAGGCCCTGATGGCAGTTCCAAAAGAGGAGACATAAAAACATTCGAATAATGACAAGGTATTTATTGCAGAAGACACCATTAAAAAAATGTATAGCTTCCCTGGGGAGAAAAAAAAAAGAGGAAGCCCCTCAACGAGATGGACTGACACAGTGGCTCCAATAATGAGCTCCAGCACAACAACGATTGTGAGGATGGCGCAGGACCGGGCAGTGTTTCGTTCTGTTGCACACAGGGTCACTATGAGTAAGAACTGACTCAACGGCACCTAACAACAACAGCATCTATCTTGTAGAATTGTTTTAAAAATTAGTTTATAATGTATGTAAACTCATTAACACAGTACTGGCACATAGGACACATACAATAAATGTCAAAAATTAGCTACTATTATTATTAAACTTTTAAAAGCACATCAAGAAAAAAAGTATTATCAAGTCTCTTATGATTGCCATAAAGTTTGTACTTAAATTTATATTCAATGTTCTTTAAAGACTAATATAACAAAAGTATTCTGTTTTTTTTTGTTTTTTGGTTTTTTTTTTTTTTTTGCAAATATATGTTTTGAACAGTACTCTAAGAACTTTATTATTTAAAACATGATATAATTTTGTAACACATGGAGTCAGGGAGGCATGGGAAAATAAGCAGTCACTGTACACATCTGGGGCACGAATAAAATGATACAACCTCTACAGTGGGAAAGCTGGCAAAACCAATCAAAATTACAAACTTACATACTCTTTGATACTGAGATTCCACTTCTAGAAATTTACCCTATGCACACCTGCACAAAAGTGAAATTATTTCCATACAAGATTATCCACCTTAGCACTGTCTGTAACAACAAAAAACTGGGAACAACCAAACTAGTTACATAATGGCGTATCTATACAATCATATATCACACAGCTGAAAAAATAATATAAAATCTTCTAATGTAATGAATTCAAAGCTCTCTAAATTGCATTATCAAAGAAAACAAACAAACAAAACAGATGAGGTCCAGAAAAGGAAGTACAGGAATGCTAGTATTTCTCTAAAACAAGGATGTGGGGAAGAAAGAATCTATATCCTCATTTCTATAGAGAACATTTCTGTGTATGAGATATATTATCGAAATATGCATCAAGTTTCTTGCAGAATACACAAGAAGTTAATAACGATATAAAATACGAAAGAAATAAAATTAAAACAATAACAAGGATAGGAAATGAACAGGTGGAAAACAAGGCAGAAAAGACTTTCCTGTATACCCTTTTGGACTCTGAATTATGAAGCGTGGGAACTTGTTTTTTACTCAAAAAATAAATGTAAATCAAAATAACATCTTAAGATACAAAATGAAAAGTAATGCTCTTTGGAGAAAAAAATCCATTTCAATATCCGAACAACTGACATAGAAATAAACAGAGACTTCTGCTGCCAACCATGCCAGAGACACCATTACTGGACTTGTTCTCCCACCGGAAAACAGTTTTTCAGTTATGTGTATCCAACGACTGGTTTCAGACAATAGGCAGTGAAGGCCTATGATCTCTGAAAGAAGGAAAACAAGGTTAGCTCAGTGACCGCCCCAGCTATCTGCCTGCAGGCACTTCTGGACTACGACTCCAGAGCACAGCAGTCGCCCTACACAGAGGAGACAGAACAGGCAGCTGGATTCTGCAGGGCAGAGCAGCAGAAAGGAGGGTGTGAATATGAGAAAGAGCTTCAGAAACTTGCACATGAGTTCACCCTTAGTCGTTGGCTGAATACTAAGATGACATGCAGATGGGACACTCCACAAGGTGGGCCAAGGAACAACTGCTGAGGAGCTGTGAGTTGATCAACTACTGGACACTGCAGGGAGTAGAAGTACATTCAACTCCAACCAGCAAAGAAGAGAGATGTTGTTGTCATTTAACAGAGCACCCAGAAAGGCCACCACTCAGAGGCAGGGACAAATGAGCCCTAAAGACTACTCGAGACCACCCTAGGAGCGCTGGTGGTACAACGGTTAAAGCACTTGGCTACTAACCGAAAGGCTGGCGGTTCGAACCCACCAGCCGCTCCACAGGAGAAAGATGTGGCAGTCTGCTTTCGTAAAGATTACAGCCTTGGAAACCCTACAGGGCAGCTCTACTCTGTCCTACAGGGTCACTATGAGTCAGAATTGACTCAATGGCAACAGGTTTGGTTGGTTTTTTTTAGACCTAACCTGAAAAAGCTTAAAAAATAAGCCTCAAAAAGATCAAGTTGATCCACAAGCTACTTAACTATCTTGCAAACCAAAGCTTAATTAACACTTATAAAAATCCAAATGATTAAACAAACTGTGGTACATCCATACCATGGGCTCTTATTCAGCAATAAAAAGGAACTACGGTAAACACAACAACCTGGATGAACCTCCAGGAAATTATGCTGAGTTAAAAAAAAAAAAAAAAGCCAGCCTCAAAAGGATACACATTGCAGGATTCCATTTATGTAACATGCATGAAATAACATAATTATAGAGACAGAGAACCAATTAGTGGTTGCTGAGGGTTAGGGGTGGAGGAGAAGACGAGTGCGCTATACGGAGGTAACAGGAGGGAGTCTTGTGGTGATGGTCCAGTTGAGTATCTTGACTGTGGTGGTAGCAAGGTACACACGTGATAAAACTGTACCGAGCTATACACACACACACACACACACGTATA